CCCTCAGCAGCAAGCTCCAGCAGCTCAGGAAATCCCTACAGCAGCTCCCGAGGACCTGCACGAGGAGTACCAGCTATGAGAAACTCTGCATCGCTGAATCCTGTCCCAATTGTAAGGTTGATTAACGTTATGATACATCTGTTTGCTATAATGTTCAGGCAAGACCTCCACCACCCAAATTGATAGAGCTACTCGTTTTTTTAAATTGTCTTTTCATTCTGCCAAGGTATGCAGCTTTATAGTTGTGCAAGAAGCTTTTTCACCAAAGGAGCATTGGCTCTCAACCAATTCCAACAAAGTTGCCCTTCTCTTTACCATCTTGTGAAGCAAACTCTAAATTCTCCCCCACCCTTTTCGTTTATGTATCTTATTATCTTTATTATGTCATTTAAGATATCTAAGCCTTGAATTCGGATGGGTCAGATGATAGAGAAGTAAAAACTGTGTATACAAGGGAGATGAGTGGTCGTAGACCAGGAGGCAGACTAAGAAGACGATTGCGAGATAATGTACAAACAGACATGCAAACACTTGATGTCACCAACTGGAAAGAGAAAGCCAACCGAAGAGATGAATGGAGGCGGGTGATATCTGCAGCAATGAACCTCAAGGGCCCGGAATGCTGAAAAGGAAGAAGATGTCATTTAAGTCAACAACAATTTATTTAGCCTAGTAGGTTTCTGTACAAAGACAATATCAAAGTCCATGCTCTGTGGTGTTTGTAGTCATGTCTATCACAACCTTCTGTCTCGTGTACTTTCAATTAATTCTGATTTAGATGATTTGACATGCCAAGATGTCAAACTGTACAGCATCTGTTCTCTCGGGCTACCTCTGCGTCTCCTCCCCTCCAACTTTCCCATGTACTCCAGTTTTCTCCTTCTCATCACATGACCAAAGAATGTAGACTGTCTCTTTTTAATGTAGGCAATCAGTTCTCTTCGTGAGTCACTTTCTTTCAAGACTTCTTTATTACTATTTTTATCTGTCCATGGTATTCTCATTATTCGCTTATAAAACCATCAAGAAAAGATATAAAACCGAACGAAAAGTATATTAGCAAGCTTCACAATATAACAAATACAAACAAAACGTGAACGTTGCGGCTGTGGAGCCTTCATCAGCACAAACAAATCAAACAATACCACACCAATACATTAAAAAAAATCACTTAGCTGGTATCTCGAAGCAGCCGGGTTAATTGTTTCTCAGCAGAATGCCTACACATGTCGGCTGGCGAAATAAATATTCCCTGTGGAGTACCAGGGGTCATAACCTGGGGTTAGAGAAAAAAACTGTAAGGGCAGTTAAATCCCCTAGTGGTTTAAATGAACCTGTGTTGGCAATTCTATAAAACCACAGCTCTGCAGCTTCGAAATAATAAAGACACTATAGCTACCGTAAATAAACATCGCGCCGGCTGTCTTTACTTTCCAGAACATTATCTAGCTATCTATTTAGGTCGACCTGGGATTCAAAGTTATTGTTACAAAAATGTAGCCTTGGTGAAGATGCGAACCGAAAACCTTCAGCCTGGTAGGCATGATTGTAGCCTCTGTGCTGATGTTTATTCCTTACGTCCTTCTTAGGACGTTATTTTTTGTTATTTGAAGCCCCACTCTGGCTTTTGCCAGGGGCCGCAATATAGGCAGGTCATCATTATGGCCAAATGTCTGAACGCGGTTTCTGGGACCTCTCCACGGTGATCCTCATCCGCATGGTGGCACTTTGTGCCATCGGGTGTTTATCGCTTGTGTGATGTCCTGGTGGGGTAGAAAGTCAGTCAGTCAGTAGCCTCTGTGCTAACAATAAAATCATAAGTTTGAAAATCATAACAGAGATTAGTTGCTTAAGAACAGCCAGCGGGTTAAGCAGGCAGTATAAAAACAAAATTGATCTCAGCTCTCGGGTCTTTCTTCTTCTTCTTCTTTTTCTTTTTCTTCTTCTTTTTCTTCTTCTTCTTCTTCTTCTTCTTCTTCTTCTTCTTCTTCTTCTTCTTCTTCTTCTTCTTCTTCTTCTTCTTCTTCTTTTGATTTGTTTATCGACTGTAAGCTCTAGCGGAAAGTCCTGGTTGTTCGTTCATTTGGACTTTGGCTTTGCGCCAAAGCCCAAGTTTTGTGTATACATTCATTTTACAAAATTATTTGTATGCAGTTGGTTGTTCCTTGCCACTCGGGCAGATGTACTCCGACTTCGAAAGAAGTTCCTGATTAGTTTACCCCTACGGCATGCTTGTGGAAAAGGCAATATGTCTGTTTTCCCCACAATGGGTAACCGGAGCCCACATCGGAAGACTCTCAAGTCAATCGGAAGACTCTCAAGTCAATCTAGCCTACAATGGGTACCAGGTAAAATTCTGGGAAGCAAAGGCGGTCGGCTTGATGCTGATCACATCACCTATCGCGTGCCTATTAGTCTTTAAATATAGGTCAAACCTATATGCCCAATACGCCCAAAGCCGTGAAAATAAAAGTTCTTTACTTAATTACTTTTATAAAATAAGAATAAAAGTTTTAACAACTTCAGAAAACTGTGACAGAAATCTAATGTGTGTAATTAAAATAACGATAGTGTAACGTTAAAGTTAAATTTTTGCGCGTTTTATTACCTGGTATAGTTCGCTGTATCTCATGAGGTGCATATTAGTCACATTTGATCAGACTGAAGCAAATAAATGAATTCTTCTAACTAAAACACGAACCCACGACATCCAAATATAACAGCCTATTTCCCCAAGGCAACCGCGGGTTCAGGATCATTTCCTTTTGCTGCAAAGCATCTCCCCCAATAAGAAAACGGGAAAGCTGAGCTCCTCCAATCAAACTCCCCACCACACACACACACACACACACATATAAACTGAGGGGACTTTACACCTCCCCCCCCTTTACCCCCCCCCCCCCCCCCCACATCGCCGATCTAATTAAGAACAAAAAATCGGGGGGGGCTGGGAAATTCCTCAGGTCCCCCCTCCCCTCCCCTTTTCCCTAATCCTGCCTGCCATCTTAACTATCTTACAATTTTGTTTTTTATGTAAATAATTCACTTTGTGGGTTCTGGGGGCCCTATTGTAAGGGAAAAAAAAGAATAGACGCACTGCCTACCCAAAAGCTTGTCGTAAGAGTCGACTAATTGGAAGCTTCCTTCAAAGTCGGAGTGCATCTGCCTGAGAGGCAAGGAAACAGCAGTCTGAATACAAATGAGTCAGATCTGTAAAACGGATGCACATGCAACACTCAGGCCCTGGAACAGGACTGCAGTCCAGAAGTGGATGAACAACCAGAACTTTCTGCCAGAGTTTACAGCTGGTGATAGCGATGAAGAAGAAGAGAATACAAATAATCCAGTGGATGAGTCTAAGGTCCTTGTATCGTCCCACCCTCCCCCGCCGTAAAATGGGAAGAGCTGAGCACCTTTGAAAAGGGCTCAGATGCGCCAATTAAATATTTTGAGATTATCTTTTAAAAGCACTTTGTATTCATGTCATTTGAGAGTTAGAAAAAGAATTCTTGCTTGCTACATACATCCAGTTTTAACATATGGCTGTGAATCCTGGCCAAACAATTTCTAGAGGCCTCAGAGATGTTGTTTTACAGAACAATGGTTAGAATACCTTGGACGGCCAAAAAGAGCAACCAAGAGGTTTTGAAAGAGGCAGGAGCCCGAAGACAACTTATCACAGACATCAGAAGGAGACAGTCATCATTTTTCGGCCATGTTATGAGAAGAGGGAAAACATAACATGTTGTGACCACTGGAAAGATCTGTGAAAGGAATGATAGAGGAAGACAACATTAGAAGATGCTTGACAGTCTTGTTGCATGGCATGGAGGTGTGTCTGCACACGAACTGACACATGCTGCTGGAGATCGTGGATTATGGAGAGGCATGATCGCCCACGCCAGTCGGCAAGGCACCTGATGATGTTGATGATTCATGTCATATTATTTTAAGTATATTTTTAAATATTCACTTGATTATTATTTTTATTATTATGACTTGTATGTGCTAAATGGCAAATAAGTAATAATATACTTTGAATTAAAATAAAATGCAATAATACTTTTATATAGAAAAAAATATATCTATATGAGTGTGTGTCTGTGTGCGCGTGTGTTTAAAGGAGCTTTTGGGTTTCCTTATAAAATTTGGGAGGGGTGCCTGAGTCCCGTTTCCCCTTTTAAAAGACTAGAGCTTCCAGCTTCCAACACCTGTGACCCAGTTTAAAATAGTTATCATGCATGCAATGACTTGGGACGTGATTTTCATCACATAGCCCAAGGAGTGTCGATAGGTCTATAGAAACGTGAGTCTAGCATCATCTGCCCTATCGCACACATCGGCGACCGGGGCACCCACTGGCCCGCCAGTAGACGACTTCGTCGCTGGTCGGGACAGTATTTGGGTCTGTCTTCTTTGATAGCATCAACACTGACGGAGTCTTTTCCAGAGCTTTTGGCTGGGTGCAGTGCTAAGCCATTTTATATGGCGCACATAACCTAGTCACAATTATAACCTAAAGCTCTCCCTCTGATGACGCTGGTTGAACGTGACCATTTTTTGTTGTTCAGCAAAGCAGCTAACTACCTATCTACCTACTTACCTACCTACCTACTTACTTACCTACCTACCTACTTACTTACCTACCTACTTACCTACCTACCTACTTACTTACCTACCTACCTACCTACCTACCTAGGGGTGTTAAATGTTGATGTATGGAGGCACGATAATCGAGATCCATGATAATGGCAGGTGTGAAAAGGACAGAATGTTAGACGGGCCTGCGTGCCCAATTCTTAACCCTTTAAAAATAAAGTTTGTTCGTTCGTTCCTACCTACCTTTCCACCTACTTTCATACCTACCTACCTACCTACTTACCTACCATCTGCTGAATGTGCCAGACTGCGTGCCCAAAACCCTAAAAATAAAGTTTGTTCGTTCGTTACCTACTTTCATTTTTACTACATCTGCCGGGCCACGCTAAAAGATTACAAAGATTGCTTCGACAGATGCAGCAGATGAAAGCTGCCAGAGAACATCCAAGAAAGATCAATGACGCTAAAGCTGCAGGCTGCGCTCAACCCGGTGAGGCGGCGCCAATTTTGATGTTCAGTGACTGCAGAAACGCGGCTTCACGCATGATCTGTCAAGCAGAAATGATGACATGCATGAATGTAGGGATGGGTTCAATGTGCTGTCCTTATGGAAGTAAGTATGTTTATGTCTTGTTGAAGTTTTAACATTTTTGCGCCTTTTCAGACGAAAGTGTTAAATGTTGATTTATGGAGGCACGATAATCGAGATCCATGATAGTGGCAGGTATGAAAAGAAATAATCAGTTAACTTTTTTCGATAGCAAAATATTTTCTTTTAAATATTTAATCAGATTACAAACACAACAAAAAGAGCTGAGTCTATTATTTTTAAAGAAACAACATATGGTATGCCATATATTAGTATATCTAACCAGATTTATTTAGTATGCTTAGGCCAAATACAAAATATATTACACACCATTCATTGTTTGATACACGCGAATTATAGCTGATCACACACTGTACGTTGTTTGGGACACAGAAAAAGATCAAGGATTAATTTTCTACTATCAGTAACACAAAATATAGGCAGTATAGTAGAAGCATTTCTTGTGTTACCCATGCAGCAGGATCCCTTGTATTGTTAACCGAAAAGAAAATGTAGCACTAATACGTTTGAAACAAATCGCGCTGCAGAAGCTGCTGGATCAGAAGAGCAGTACTCTGGGTGTCCATGTTTGTAAAATTAAATCTATCAGGGAAAGATAAAAAAACTAAACGAGATGTATATCAACTAGCTTCACAACATAATAAACACGAACAAAACGTAAACTTTGCGATAACGGGACAATCATCAGCACATACGTTAATTAGATAATACTACACAAATACACAATATCAGATATCTTCTATCTCGAAGCAGCCAGGTCGATATTTAGCAAATAGACTGGCGAGACACTGGGGAACAGGAAAATAAATATCCCGGGGAATACCAGGGGCGGTAACTTGAGGATAAGATGAAACTGTGTAGGCAGTTCAGTCCCCTAGGATTTTAGATGTATCTGTGTTGACAGTTCAGTCCACTGGAGGCTAGACTTCCCAAAGTGTATATAAAGCGATTTTTCAAGAGACTTACGAATTCTGTCGCTGAAGAAGTTAGATTTAATGGCTGTCACCTCCATGTCGTGAACACCTTGGTAGTCCTAGAAATTGAAATACAATGGTACTGGTTTCAGGGCACCTTCTACACATTCTAAAGATGTAACTTTTTTTTATTTTAATCTTTTTTTGCGGTACGCAGTACCAATACTATTTTGAGGCATCATTTTTGTTCCCAAGCGCTACTGTAACAGGTACTTTGAGGTTAGTCCCTGCACTTTTCAGACACTCTAAGAACCGGCACCTGTTTTCCTTTGAAAAAATAGCCCTATTAAAGACCAGTCTGACGCCAACTCGTTATATTGACCACGAAGTCTTTTAAAATAGCTGCTTGATTTCGACGGGTCGTGTGGAAAACAACATGCAGTCATACAGACAGGCAAACAGACAGGCAAATAGACAAACACAGATAGACAGATGGACAGGTGGGTAGGCAGGTGGGGGAGGGCTAGCTAACGGGGGGGGTGAGGTGGACAGTTAGAAAGATAGTCAGACAGACCGACTATTGTCTTCTAGTTACAGACGGCCGTGGTTATTTACAGATATATAATTAACAAGGGACAATGTATTGATCGGCACTCTTAGAAAGAAGAAGAAAGATACTCACAGAAAGAAGTAGAAAGACAGAAGGACACACAAAACAACATAAAATGTATTTATTAATTTACAGGTGGACAGATAGAAAGGTAGACAGCTGGTAGAAACAACGGGTGGACAGGTAGAGAGAAAGTATACAGGTAGACAGACAGATAAACAGACGGACAAAAAAGACAAGTAGACAGTCAGACAGTTGGACAGGAAGGCAGCCAAACAGACAGGCAGGCAAACAGTCAGACTTAGTTTAACTATCGCATTATCTCACTTCCCTATTACAGTTAACGGTCTGGCCCTGGACGCCATTGGTTACGTCAACAAGATGCAGCAGTACGTAGAGGCGTTCGCATAAAGAACGCCATACCTAGGTCAAAGGTCAACACTCTGCTCAAAGTTGTTTCTTTAATCTCCAGGTGCCAGCCTCTGTTCGATTTGTAATAATGTTGCAGTAAATTTTTTTTTAATACAGTGTTTCTCTGAGAGCAAAATGTCAGAAAGAAGATGTACGATATAAATGAGTTTAAGTTTAGTTAACAATGGTTCTTTAGGAAGTGCAAATTATTGTAAGATAAAGTTAACACTTTGCGTTTCAGGCAGTTTAATTATTTCTACCCATCTTCTTATTAACGTCAATGCCGTGTGGCGCTGGTAGTCATGTCTATAAACAACCTTCTATCTCGTACTTTCAGTCAATCCTGAAACAGATGATCATCAATGCTGTGATGTCAAACTGTCCAGCACCTTTTCTCTCGGTCTCCCTCTGCCTCTTCTCCCTTGCAACTTTCCTACTGTCCTTATGTACTCCAGTTTCCGCCTTCTCGTCACACGAACAAAGAATATAGACTGTCTCTTTTCTGATGTAGGCAATCAGTTCTCTTCGTGTGTCAGTTCCTTTCTATCCTAAGGAGATTTGTTTTCAAGCCAAGCATGTTTTGGACATACGCTTGATGTTTGTGGTTTGAACAACGGATGAACATCATGGCACACGGGTAGTAAAACATAAGTGCTCCGTTCTTCTTCTAACTCAAGTCTGACTCCGAAGAAGTTCAGCACAGTGCACAGGCTCTGTAGCACCGGCGAGGATCCTGAAATACTTTGGGTAGATTTTTTTTAAACTCCAAATTTTGCCCGGGTAGCGCAGTTAGGCTATTCTTTACGATTTCCAACTGCCAAGGGATTTGTTTACGTGCCCAACAATGGACACAGGTGTCCGATCTCACTACCCAGAGACCAGGGGGAATTACTAGAAGACCACGTAAAAAAGCCCCAGCCCCTGCCAGGGATTGAACCCGAAATCTCTAGCACTCGAGGCGAACACCGTGTCACGCAGCCCCCACCCACCAACTGGAATAATAAGGTCAATCAAAAGGGATGAATTAAAGTGGGTGATATCTGCAGCAATGAACTTCAAAGGCTCGGAATTCTGAAGAAGAAGTATTTTCAAAGACACGGGCGGGTTTGAGTACATCAGTGTAAAAACCACTGAAAACACATGAAGACCAGATCATGTAAAAAGTAGCTGATGCATGCTTGGCATTCAAAGAGTTAACAATTACCTTTTAAAATAACACTGATTATTAGAAGATAGAATTTAGGTTAATAATGCACGTTCAATTATAACATAGATTATTATAAGACAAAAGTTAATAATGTATCATAAAAATAATAACCACCGTCTTTGACTAGAAGACAATAGTTTTACTAAAGCTATTAAATTCGACGTAATTTCATGTTGAGTCGCTTATGCAATTTAATTTCTGACTGAAATTGGCTTCTTTATTGGAAAAGCGGCAAGCCGCCATTTTGCGAGACTGCTGTACTGCGTTTTGCATGTGTTTTCTGTACAAAATTTTGAAGACTTTTGAGTAAAAACGTGTGAGGACATTACCGTGTTTGTTTTTTTTTTTTTTAATAGATTTTTGTCCCGTTTCAATTAATTTATGTTATTGATCATTTGTTTGTACAGCTAATTCATGACAATCGCCGCACAGATGATGTTGTTATGTCAACAGACAGCTCTCTGTTGAGAGAAGAACGAAGTGCATGGGCGTTCATAGCAAAAGCGAATGGACGTGGCTTGGTGTAACAAAGCCTCGTATATGAAACCAAGACCTTCCTCGGTGCTCCTATGGACCTTTCTGCCACAAGTAACACGGAATCTGTCTTTGGCTTTTTAACAGCGGAAGATACATGTAAGACAGTTCGGTGAATTCGGCCAAACCGCTAGGCTTTAGGCTACCTGAAAGACAGAGTTAAATTTGTCTTGCTAAACTGCATTCTCCTCTCACTCTCCTAGCACCGGAAGTGAATGCCGATATTTCCGTGTACCAGTACGATCTCCATTTGTAGCTAGGTTAAGCCACTAAGTTGCTGGGTGCTAGTAGCAAATACTATAAGCGAAAGCGATGGGATATGACGTGCTGGGAAACTGCAAAACTAGACAAAACTGGGGAAATTCCCTAACAGCACCCGGATACACATGGGGATATCCCTCTATGTCATCTCTGAACAAAATGACGTCACTCTTGACGTAACCAAAAGGGGAAAATCAAGGGGTCAAAAGGGGTGGTGTGTCATAACGTTGTCTACTTGAAGCGGCGTCTCGCGACAGAGTCGGAGCAACAGGGCAAATTTTAGATATCTTGTTAAACCTCTAAAAAAATTATAACTAAGGTACTCGCAATTGCTGCAACAGTAAGCCCCACTGTTTAGACACCTAAATGTCTCCCTTCCAACAAAACAACCAGTGATTAATAGCATCGTTATTCTTACTTTATGTTATCAGTGCCAAACATGGACAATAAATAGGGCACTAGAACAGAAAATAACTACATGTTAAATGTGCTGTCTCCGCAAGGTCACTAACAACACTAGACGAGACAGGGTTACGCATACCAGCATTAGAGAGAACGTTGGAATAAGACCATGTCTGGATTATATTGACAGAAAAAGAATGAAATGTTTCAGCCATCTAGTGAGAATGCAACCAGGCCAGACAGCATTTGAGACCTTTTACATTAGGTCATCTGGGAGGAAGGCGAGAGGAAGATCAAGACAGGGACAAATATATGGTGTAGCTGAAGTCTGCAAAAAGATGAACAAATTCATCACTCGGGCGACCTGAGAAGCGCAAGACAAATACAGAAAACCGTGGTATTGGGCTACAACCTGGTACCAGTGAGACGACAAAAGAAAGAAGAAGAATAGCTGTACCATCATCATCATCATGTCAGCCAGTCTGTCCGCGTGTTCATTTCCTAACACACCGGCCTGCTCCGGTGAAAAAAAATCCAGACAATACTCCTCACACGGCCATGCAACAAAATGGTAAATACAGGTTGGTAATGATAATGTAGTGTAGTTGAAGTAAAACTGTCAAAAACACTGTCACCACTGTCTGCTTTACCACTTTTTAAGGCAATGTAGACAGGGGTCGTAGTTGAAGTTGAATCTTTTTCTTCTTCTTCGTTCACCGGCTGTGAATTCCGGCGGAAGGTCACGGTAAATCGTCCCTTTGAACTTATGGCTTTTACCTGGACCCGAGTTTTGCGAGTACAGCCATTTTAATGGCGTTTGCCGTTCCCTGCCTTCACAGACAGATGTACTCTGACTTCGAGAGAAGACGTCAAGCGTATCTCTAGGATGACTGTGGCCATAGTTTCGTGTTTGTCAAGATGTTGCCCCATTCGTGTGTTGTCTTATTTGTCCGTTTGTCTGCAGGTGTTGCCTCCAGTGTAACCCCCCCCCCCCCCTCAACAGGGCCCAGCCCTATGTAGAACGGGTAGCCCTGAAGGGAAGGCAGGGGCAGATCATGGGAATTCCCCGCCATCTAAGGGAGGCTTCCATAAATGCAGAGTCGACACATGACGCTCTGGTTCTGGGCTCACCCAAGGAATCGTCACGTCCTGCACATGACTGGTTAACCTCACAATCGTATTAGGCTTACCGCTCGACACGGGCTGCGCCCTCCAGAGATCAGCGGGGAGCAGCTCGCAGCTTCAGGACCTTTGTTACCACACGAATAAGTACATTCTTCTTTGTCGCACGTTAGACATCTTTAACGTGCCCTTAGCACGACAGAATGGAAAATCATGAGTCGAGCATGTCTTCATCTGTTTGGTCCCAACACGGGGGAGTGAGGCTTCTGGGTGCGGATATTTGGAGTCTTTTCCAGTCATTACGGTTTATGATGGTCGGTTTTGAGCTTGTTCGTATGCTGTAGGTTCTTTCCTTCTCGGACACTAGGCCCTAGCCAGCCGATTGACAGTTGCTGTCGTGGTGTACCTCAGTGCGGTGACAACAATGCTGAGGGTTGACAGGGGATGTACATAGGTAGGATCTTACTGCGAGAAACCACCCACAGATGCTACTCGTCTAAGCTGCAGGTTAATCTCTTAGTCAAGGGTTGATTCTCGGCAGCATAGTATTCCCTTAATACCACAGACTTTTAACCGAGAGTTGTCATTTAATGGTACATTTGGCAAGCAGACTTTACTCATGTTCCAAATGAGTTTTAGTAAACTTTTTCACCCGTGTGTTTGGGGGCGGGCTGATGAGAGCCTCAAGGACTCTACACCTCTGGGGGACACCAACTCCTAATTCCCTCACAGCTCTGTTAATGCTCATTGGAGAAATTATCCTTGGCGCATGACAAGGATGTGCAACAGGAGTCTTGCATGAGGTTCCGTAAAACCAGAACATTGAAGGGTTGGCGCCCGAGTGACGTACGGAGTATCTCCTTATACACATCATATCGGACTTAACTTTCCCTCACGCCTGTGACAGAGGTCACCGCGCCACAAAGTTGAATAAAAATTGAAATCATGCATCTTTTGGATGTGAGTCATGGACTTTTTCAATCTTTGAAGGAACAAATTTTAATTTTTGAACTGAAATGTTACAGAAAAATGTTTAGTATACCATGGACTAAGAAGACGAGCTCAGTTCACTAGGTGTCGTCACCATACAGATGGCACGGTGATTCGTGAGGTGCAGTTTTGATGGGCAATCTTTGCGCAAGTAAACGGGAAAATAGGAGAAGCAAGTCAGACGCTCAGTTCAACTACTTTCAGCATGACGATGGCGATAGTAGCTGTTACAGGGGCACCTGTATAGTTAGCGGAACATCTCGTGTGTTGATAGTAATAGACTAATTGATCATGCTTAAGAAGATCAAAACTGGCAAACTCCGACTAGAATGGGTTGACCGCTTCCGAATTCCTGCAAGAAACAATCTTTGCCGTAAATACAGTGACATGCCAGGGTGAAAGGAAATAAAAGAGCCGACTGGGTGGCTCATCTGCCGTGGTTAGTGGAGAAAGAAGTATAGACGGAGCAGACGTACCGGATGCG